AGCCCACGGTTTTGAGACCCACTCGGGCAACTTGGCGAGACCTCGTTTCTACAATAAAAATCAAAAATTAACCGAGCGTGGTAGCGTGCACCTGTAGTTCCAGCTGCTTGGAAGGCTGAGGGGGAAGGATCGCTGGAGCCCAGCAAGTTGAGGCTGCGGTGACCACGGCTCTCCAGCCTGGGTGACAGAGTGAGACTCCGCCTCAAAAAAAAAGAAAAAAAATTTAAGGGTCAGTTAGGCCTTAAAGGTTACAAAATGCAAAGGATCAAGTTCTCTCCCCCACCCCAAATCTTGAAGTTTGAAGAACTTCAAGAACCAATGAGCTAAATGTTTCCCATTGTTTGACTGCATGTACTGGTTTTATACTTGGGTCACCTTGTTCCTTGAATTTTCTTAATATGGACTTCTTTCCTTTTTCCCTTTCTCCCTTTTATTCTTCTTTTCTTCCTTTATTCTTTATTATCTTTTCCCTGTCTCCCTCCCTTCCTTTTTTTCCTTTCTTCCCTTCTTTACTACTTGAAAAAAAGTACTAAAGTGAACAAAACTACTAAAGATGGAGCATATATTCCTTTGCTAATTTAAGAAATTTACATCTGGCCTTTTACTATGAATGTTGCAAATTATGATACCATTTGCTACATGAAAAGCCCAATGTACATCAATTTCACTGAAAGCAACATCCTCAGAACCCAAGAGAATTTTTTTTCAGCTCTACAATATAAAAAAGAAATTAAATAGCCAGTTCTCAACAAAATAGAACCAGGAATATTCAAAGAAAAATCATGCCTAAAAACCAAAGAAATAATAGACAATGGAAGCAGGGTTTTTTTTTCAATATTTTTTATTATGGTTTTGTGGGGTACAGTTAAGGGTTAGGTGTACAAGTATGTTTCATTCAGGCACCCTGTTGATAAGAGGTGTTTCCCCATCCCCAGACAGATATTTGCTACTGTTAATCCCATCTCCCTCTCCCCCCCCCATAGTTTCCCAGTACCGTCAGTCATTTTCTTATAGTATTACATTGGATGTTCAAGGTCTATTATATGAGTGAGAACATGTGATACTCGGATCTTTGTTTCTGTGAGAGGTCACTCAGTATTATAGACTCTAGTTCCATCCAGATTGCTGCGAAATTCATGATTTTGTTCTTTTTTATGACTGTGTAGCATTCCATTGTGTATATGTACCACATTTTTTTAATCCAGTCCTCTTTTGATGGGCAGCATGGTTGTTTCCAGGTTCTTGCTATTGTGAACAACGCTGCAATAAACATACGTGTGCAGGTATCTTTTTTATAGAGTGATTTGAGTTCTTCAGGGTATATTCCCAGTAGGGGGATTGCGGGGTCTTAAGGGAGGTTGATATTTAGAGCTTTTAGAAATCGTCACACTGCTTTCCACAGAGGTTGCACTAGTTTACACTCCCACCAACAGTGTAGAAGTGTTCCCTTTTCGCCACACCCTCTCCAGCAGCTGTTATTTTTTGAGTTGTTGATAATTGCCATTCTGATTGGAGTTAGGTGGTATCTCAGTGTGGTCTTGATTTGCATCTCCCTGATGATTAGTGAGGTTGAACATTTCTTCATGTGTTTGTTGACTGCTCGGATGTCCTCTTTTGTGAAGTGTCTGTTCATATCTTTTGCCCATTTTATAATGGGGTTGTTTGTTTTTTTTTTTCCAGGACGTTTGAGTTCCTTGTAGATCCAGGATGTTAAGCCTTTGTCAGACCTGGTGTTGGCAAATACTTTTTCCCAGTCTGTAGGCTGTCTCCCTGCTCTCTTGATGGTTTCTTTGGCCTTGCAGAAGCTTGTCAGTTTAATAAGGTCCCACTTGTCTATCTTCTCTCTTATGACCTGTGGGTTTCGGGTTTTGTGGAAGCAGTTTTATAGTTTGGGTTCATCCCTGTAAGTCTTTGATTGATTTGAGTTAATATTTGTATGTGATGTTAAGTAAGACTCCAATCTCATTCTTTTATATGTGAATATACAGTTTCCCCAACACCATTTATTTAAAAAGAATATTGTCGGGTTTGAGACCCACCTGGGCAACTTGGCGAGACCTCATCTCTACAATAAATCAAAAATCAGCCAGGTGTGGTAGTGCGCGCCTGTAATTCCGGCTACTCGGAAGGCTGAGGCGGAAGGATCTCTGGAGCCCAGCAGGTCGATGGCTCAAACCTGCAATCCCAGCATCCTGGGAGGCCAAGGTGAGAGGATTGCCTGAGTCCAGGGATTCGAGATCAACCTAGACAACTTGGCAAGACCTCATCTCTACAACAAATCAAAAAATTAGCCAGGCATGGTGGTACCTGCCCGTGGCTCCAGCTACCTGGAAGGCCGAGGTGGAAGGATTGCGTGAACCCAACAGGTCGAGGCAATTCTTCCACCTCAACCAAGAGAATGTTATTGCATCAGAATTTGGGTATCTTCTTGACCCTGAGGCTGTTCAGCAGAAGTCTTCAGAATAAGTAGTGATGCCTCCAGAAACATGGATATTTTTCTCACCTTAGCTCAAGCTATTTTATCTTAAACTCAATTCTCTACTAGCCCTTGTATCTATTCTTTTTGTTTTATAGAGGATTTTTTTTTTCATGAAGTACCTTGATCTCACAGTGTTTGTTCAGAATTTCTATCTAGTCTGGGCAAAATTTTCCTGGCATTTTTTTCTTCATCTGCTATTCAACTTTTCCTGTTCTTTTCTTTATGTTTTCTTGCAGTATTCTGTATTATGTGCTGGCACCTTTTCATGCTTTAGATAACGCAAGATCTTTCTCCACTAGTTATTTGTGGAAAAATGTTATAGGAGAAGGGCAATGCAGTACCCTAAGTGCAAGGAATTTCAATAGCTTATATTGAAGCCGTGTGTGTTTGTTAAGATTTATGCTTTCACTTTCCTCAGCAAATAGTTCTGTTCTGCTCATTACATATTAACATGAAAAAATATTTTAATTAAAAATTTATAAAAATCAATAACCTTATTTTCCAAAAGATAAATAGTTCATGAAGAGTGACATTGTTTTATAGCTTTGAGAATGTCATAAATGTCTGCTTCATAGAAGACCAGCTAGATTTTTATGTCGGCTTCTGCTTTAATATGTTGCAATATTCTGTTTTGGTTGAGGTTGTTGAGAAAATCTGGACTCACACAGATATATAATTGGAAAGGGTAGTGTTTTAATAGTCTTTTCAGAGAGTCATGTATAAACTTTTTAAGTACCATGCCAAAACTCAACAAGTGGTAGATTCTTAAAGGTTAGATGCAATGTAAACTCTAAAACCATATCAATACATTTTCCAAGTTCATTTATATTAATATTAAAACTCCACTGGTCTACCTTGCCTTTGAATGGATTATTATTTTTGCCCATGCACCACACTTGGACATCCACTGCTCCAAGAAATAGACTTAGTGTTGAAAACTAGGAGTTATGGTATATGTACATATTCTTCCACATTAAATATCGCCAAACTGTTTTTCAAATTAATCATAATAGTTTGTTTTATGTTCTATTCAGCACTTGATATTGTCCTGCTTCTTAATTTTTGTCAAAAGGGTGGGTGTCAAACTGTCTTAATTGTTTTATTTATTTTACACTGTTTTATACTTGCATTTCTATGATTATTAATAGGATTTAATGTTTCATGATATGTTTCAAAATATGCAATTAGTTTTCATTTATGGTGTTTCTCTAATTACCAATTTGTTATTGATTTGTAACTTAATTACACTGTAGCCAGATAATGCTATCTACATGAACCATTAAAAGTTTAAATTTAGGCCGGGTGCGGTGGTTCATGCCATAATCCCATCACTTTGGGAGGCTGAGGTGAGAAGATTGCCTGAGCCCATGGGTTCAAGACCAGCCTGGGCAACTTGTTGAGACCTTATCTCCACAATAAACAAAAAAGATTAGCCGGGCATGGTGGCGCATGCCTGTAGTTTCAGCTACTTGGAAGGCTGAGGCAGAACGATCACCTGAGCCCAGTAGGTCAAGGATGTGGTGGCTATGAGCTATGACTCCCAGTAGGCCGAGACTGTGGTGGCTGTGACTCCAGTTCAAAAAAAAAAGTTTAAATTTAAAAGATTTTCACAAGGAAAAAGACTGCTTCAAGACTATACTGGAAAGATATCTCCTATTGACACTACTTCATATAATTTTTATTGTCTGCATGGCAGGTATTGTATATAACCTCAATTAAGCCCTCTGAAATAGGTTCTACTATCCTTATTCTACAGGTGATATAACTTAGGCACAAAGATATTAGATAACCTTTTCAGAGTTATACAGCTCACAGGTAGTAGAGACACAATCCAAAATAGCTTGTGACATCTAAGTCCACAGTGTTAGTCACTAAGTTATACACAGGAATCATGATTCCATTAATAATATGCTAAAATTTTTAACACATCTTTTTTTTTTCGTTGGAGTCTCACTGTGTCGCCCAGACTGGAGTGCAGTGGCACGTTCTCAGCCACCGCATCCTCGACCTGCTGGGCTCTAGCGATCCTTCTGCTTCATCCTTCCAAGTAACCAGAACTATAGGCTCATGCTACCACGCCTGGCTAATTTTTTATTTTTATTGTAGAGAGGAGGTCTCACCAAGTTGCCTGGGTGGGTCTCGAAACGGCTGACTCAGGCAATCCAACTGGCCTCGGCCTCCCAAAGTGCTGGGATTACAGGCTGAGCCATAACACATCTTTTTAAAAGGACTTTCCAAGTGTTTTTATACTTTCTTTTGTTCTCACAAAAGTCTGCATGGTTAATAAGAAAAAGTCCAATTAACCTCTTTTATTTGTGGAAAAATTGACACATAAACCCATTGGAATTCTTGAGGGGAAAAGTTAACCAGGATTATTTCCTCTAAAATGTCTCAATATTTCTCTTGATTCTGTGTTCATTGTGAATAGAAATGGGTTTATTTCAATAGAAATTGAAATAACAACTGATTTAGAAATTTATTCTCTTTTTTCCCTCCTACAGATCCTAGAATTATCAATGCAATGACTGGAGGAAGGAACAGTACAACCATTGTGAAGTTCATTCTCTTGGGATTCTCTGAATTTCCAAAGTTCACTATTGCCCTTTTCTCAGTATTCCTAGGGATCTACCTTGTGACTGTGTCCTGGAATGTGAGCCTCATTGCCCTCATCAGGATGGACTCTCATCTGCATACACCCATGTACTTTTTCCTCAGTAGCCTGTCCTTTTTGGACATATGCTATGTTACCACCATAGCCCCCAAAATGCTCTCAGACTTCTTCAAGAAGCATAAATTCATCTCTGTTATGGGGTGCACCATGCAGTACTTTTTCTTCTCTAGCCTGGGTCTAACTGAATGCTGTCTTCTGGCAGCCATGGCCTATGATCGATATGCTGCCATTTGTAACCCTCTGCTTTACACAGCCATCATGTCCCCAAACCTCTGTGTGCAAATGGTGGTAGGATCTTATACAACAGGGTTCCTTGGCTCATTGATCCAACTGTGTGCTTTGCTTCAGCTCCATTTCTGTGGACCAAATGTCATCAATCATTTCTTCTGTGACCTACCCCAACTACTGATTCTATCCTGCTCTGACATCTTTTTCTTTCAAGTTTTGATCTCTGTGCTCACAGTGATATTTGGATTCATGTCTGCCTTAGTTATCACGATATCTTATGGTTATATTGTTGGCACCATTCTGAAAATCACATCAGCTGAGGGCAGATTCAAAGCTTTCAACACTTGTGCCTCTCACCTGACAGCAGTGACTCTCTTCTTTGGCTCAGGTATCTCTGTTTATATGTATCCTAACTCTGGTGATTCCCTGAGCCAAAATAAGTTGGCATCAGTCTTATACACAACCATAATTCCCATGCTAAATCCATTGATCTACAGCCTGAGGAACAAGGAAATCAAAGATGCCTTAAACAAATGTAAGACGAGAATCTTCTCCTGGAATTACTAATTATGAAATTTATTTCAGATATATCAACAGTATAGGAATAATATCAACTAAAAACGTTTATCTCCAGTTCTAATTAAGGGCAGAATTGCAGTTTCCATACACTTCTAATGTAAGCCTAGAACTGACACAAAGCCAGACAAATACATGAGAAGTATCTGGAAGCTTAATATCCATTCTTTGTCAGTGTGATATAATAAATGAAAAGACCAAGCAATACACAAGTGTTTTTGTAGCTAGTTGTGGCAATGTGGCAGTTTGCTTTCAATGTTCCATCCCTACCTGGCGTGCCACTATCACAGGGATCAGAGATATCAGTACTAGTAAAGACTGCCAGGATGCTAGCAAGCTTCTTCATACCATCTAATTTTAGGTGGGGCAGGGATTATTTTTAGTACTGAGAGATTAAAAAAAGATTTCTTAATTAAGTCATCAGCTTCTAACTTATTCTTTCACCTCTGGAAATTTTGGATTATTCTCTTTATTTATTTATGTATTTATCCAAAATAAAGTTAACCATACCAGATAAACAGTTTTCTAAGGTCACAAAGAGAAATTTGTTGTAATAGGAATGCTTAACAAGTCTACTATATTTAAGATTCAGTTGACTAACTGGCTTGTTAGACATCTCTAGACAATTCCTTGTTATGTTATTGCTATAGAATCATCTTTGTTTCTCCTACTTATCTCTACCATGCAACCAGAAAAGGAAATCAGAAACTGGCTCACTGTTGGTGAGGGGATCTAGTCCCTGATTTTGGCAACTCCCACAATGTCGTTTTATTACATTTTTGGTTTATTTAATAGAATAAGTCTCCATTAGGAAGTTGTTTTTACAATAATTAACAAATGGAAAGTGGTTGATAAAATTATCAGTAAGGAACGGAACCTCTGGAACCATAAGAAAGTATGGATTCAGCTGTTTCCCTTGTATTCTTGTTTGGAATTACTCAAAGGCAGAGAAATACTAGAGTTGAGTTTTAAAATACCAACCAAGGATAGAAAGCTGGGACAGGAAGCACACATCTGTTGTTTATCTTCTGATACAATGCTGAGCTCCATAATCTTAAGCCAAAAACTATAAAAAATTTCAGGAGTTTTCTTCTGGCAAAAATCCTGCTGTATATTCCCTCACCTCCTTCTGCATTCAGAAGGGAAAATGACAGATCCTTATGAGTAGTCACGTGATAAGAATTTAAAGCAAGCCTTTTGGACCACTATAGACACTGAAGCTTGAGAGATTCTGCTTTTAATGCCTCACGTTTCCAGAATAGAATCCAACTTCAAGGAGCATGGAGATGAAAGAGAATCTTTTGAAAAACAATTGACTTGTAGCTATTGGTTAGAATTTTGTCAAGGGAAGTTTGAGATGGGGTTGCAGACCTTGATTTCATCCAAAGTCTTTTTCAAAACTAATTTCTGCTAGTGATTCCATTTGGACCTCCCTTAGCTTCAGCCTAAATTAAAGCATATTAGCTGATGACTGTACTGGGACGGAGCGAGAGAAATAACTCTTTAAGTGCCATTCGGTGGCTCAGACTGCAATCTCAGCACTTTGGGAAGCCAAGGCGGGTGGATTGCCTGAGCCAGCGGTTTCGAGACCTACCAGGGCAACTTGGCGAGACCTTGTCTCTACACTAAATCAAACACTAGCCGGGCGTGGTAGCACGCACCTGTAATTCTGGCTACTTGGAAGGCTGAGGCCGAAGGATCGCCGGAGCCCAGCAGGTCGAGGCTGCGGTGGCCAGGAGCGTGCCACTGCCCTCCAGCCTGGGTGACTGAGTGAGACTCCAACTCAAAAAAAAAAAGAAAAAGAAAAAGAAAAGAAAAACTGCCATTCATTTTACTTGATTGGATCCTTAATCCTTTTATGGTTATAGATTATTAATGCCTTTGAAGAGAAGTACTGCTTGGGGACAATAACACAACCAACAGAAATGCCTTATTAAGTAAAATCCAAAATCTCCTTAATTAAGAAAAGCATAATTCTCAGGGAAGAATGATATGGCCCTTAAAGCAGAGGGTCTTATCTCTACAGAGGACTAAAATCCCTTTTATTTTAATTTTCAGGTCATCTGTAGGATATGAATGTGTAGGATGCATACCTCTGTGTAGGGATTTCTTATAAATGACAAATGTTCAGAGAGTAATTGGTCATGACAGAGGATCATAAATTAAAGACAAACTCTTAGGTAATACCGTGTCTTTCTCTTTTGGTAACTACTTGTGATTAACGTTTTTGTCTTGGTGATATTTTTAAAGAAATAAATGCTCTTTATGTGATGTTCTACGGGAAATTTATTGTATCCTTTAATTCTGTTGAACAATATTTTAGGGCTGCTGCAGGAACTTAACACCATGACTGGAAATAAAAAGACTCTGGGTTATGTAATAGTAAATCCTGTATTCTAAGAAGTTGCAGTCTCTTTGCTATGTTAGTAGAAGATAGAGTTTGGTAGCTTTTAGGACTCTAGGCATAGGCTAAACACTTCTAACCAGCACTAATTGCTGACTGGCTGTTATGTTTATCACTGCATATCTTAATTTGTATTCTAAGTTTAGAGAATAGTGTTATATGTACCTATAGCCTATTTTGCATAAATGCTCTGATATTTTATTTTTGGCACATGAAGGTAAAAAAGTGGAGATAATGGTGGGGTTTTGAACAAGTCATTAAGTTTGCTAAGTAAAGTTACATCCGGGGAAGTAGACCAATGGAAGTGGGCCAATGGCTATACCTATGTAGGGACTGCTTGAGGAAAGTTAGAACTTGGTACACAGGGAATCACTAGATTTGTTTTTATCTGAGGATGTGACCACAATGTCCATTATAAAAATAATACATAATGATATATTTCCTATAAAAAACTCATGTCACCTATAAAGATGCACACAGAGTGAAAAGGAAGGGATGGAAAAAGATATTCCATACAAATGGAAGCCACAAAAGAGCAGGAGTAGCTATATTAATATCAGATAAAATAGATTTCAAGATAAAAACTATAAAAAGAGGCAAAGAAGGTTACTATATAATAAAGAAGTCAATTCAGCAAGGGGACATAACAATTGTAAATTTGTATGCACCCAGATACATAAAGCAAATATTATTACAACTAAACAGAGAGATATACCTCAATAAAATTATGGTTGAGGACTTTAACACCTCACTTTCAACATTGGACAGATCATCTAGACAAAAATCAAGAAAAAGCATTGAACTTAATCTGCACTATAGATTAAATGGACCTAGTAGACATTTAGACATTTCAACCAATAGTTTCAGAATACACATTCTTCTTGTCAGCACATGACATTCTCCAGAATAGACCATATGTTAGGCCACAAAACAAATCTCAAAAAGTTTAAACAAATTCAAATCCTATCAACTATCTTCTCTGACCACAACGAAATAAAACTAGGAATAAATTAGAAGAGAAGTTTTGGAAACTATAGAAATACATGGAAATTAAACAGCATACTTCTAAACAACCATAGAGTCAATAAAGAAATTCAGAAGAAAATTCAAAAATTTCTTGAAACAAATGAAAATGGAAGCAAAACATACCAAAACCTAAGGGCTACAGTAAAATCAGTATTAAGAGGGACATTTACAATAATAAGCAACTACATCAAAAATGTAAAAGGCTTTAAATAAACAACCTAGTAATGTATCTTAAAGATCTCGAAATGCAAGAGCAAACTAAACCCAAAATTAGCAGGATAAAGAAATAATAAAAATCAGAGCAGAAATAAAGGAAATTGAGACTAAGGTAACAATACAAAGGGGGATCAAAAAAACTCTGAAATTTATAAATAAAAAATTATATATTTATTCTTACATGTTTAAACTTCAGTCACCTTCAAAATACTCTCCATTTGATGCAATACACCTATCAAGATGCTTTTCCACTGCTCAAAACAATTTTTGAGTTTATCAATTTTTATGTCTTATAGTTCTTCTGTTGTTTATTGTTTCATCTTTTCCATATCAACAAAATGTTTCTTTTTGAGGACTTTTTTTTTTCATGGGAAACAAAAACAGTCACTCAGGGCAAGATCAGGTGAATAAGGAGGGTGGGGCAAGGGGATCAGGTTGTTTTTTGGTGAAAGACTGCTGAACACTCAGTGTGGTGTGGGCAAGTCCTTTGCCTTGGTGAAAGAACCAGCCATCCATTTGCTACAACTGGGGACTATTTCTTTCGCAAACTGTGATGCAACCTTCTTAAAACTTCCAAATAAAAACCCATGGGTTCCTAGAACACTAACCTAGTGGAGGAAGTCTGTATTATAAGGAGCCCACACTCCAAAAGATAACTCCAGGATTTTTTGGTCCTTCTCTCCCATATAAAAGATCAGTGAAACAAAAAGTTGGTTTTCTGAAAAGATAAATAAAATCAACAAACTTGTAGCTGGACTTTAAAAAATAAGAAGATCGAGCTGGGCACAGTAGCTCATGCCTGTAATCCCAGCACTTTGGGAGGCAGAGGTGAGTAAACTGCCTGAGCTCAGGAGTTTGAAATCAGCCTGGGCAACTTGGTGAGATCTCATCTCTACAATAAGTCAAAAAATTAGCCAGATGTGGTGGCCGTGACTGTAGCTCCAGCTACTTGGAAAGCTGAGTTGGAAAGACCGCCTGAGCCCAGCAGGTTAGGGCTAAGGTAGCTGTGAGTGTGCCACTGCACTCCAGCCTAGGTGACAGAGTGAGACTCGGACTCAAAAAAAAGGAAAAATTAAAATTAAAAATTAAATAAAGAGAAGATCTAAATAAATAAAATCAGAAAGAAAAAAGACATTACAACTGATATCACAGAAATTCAAAAGATAAGAGACTACTATAAGCAACTTATGTGCTCATAAATTGGAAAACCCAAAAGAAATAGATAAATTCCTAGACACATACAGTCTACTAAAACTGAGTTATTAAGAAATAGAAAACTTGAAAAGACCAATAAGAAGTAATGTGATAGAAGCAGTAAAAAAAATCTCCCAGCAAAAAGAAAGAA